ATCTTTATATACAGTCAGTGATCATCTTTATATACAGTCAGTGATGGTCTTTATATACAGTCAGTGATCATCTTTATATACAGTCAGTGATCATCTTCATATACAGTCAGTGATGGTCTTTATATACAGTCAGTGATCATCTTTATATACAGTCACTGATCATCTTTATATACAGTCAGTGATCATCTTTATATACAGTCACTGATCACATACAGATGTGTATTAATGCGTGTGTACCTTCGAGTGGTAGAAGGCGGCGATGACCCGTCGAAGGCGGTTGGTGTAAACCTGAAGGCAGGTGAAGAGTGCCACCAACAGGACACAACACACACAGCTCACATACACTCCTGCTGAGAGGGGGGAGGGGGGAGACACACACCCTAAGGGGGAAGAGGTGATGTTACTCTCAACTGTTGCCCTCTACTGGATCAGTTTCAAACAACATATACAAACATAAAATAATATGAATAATTTTACAATATTTGTAAAGACATAGTTTGTGTCAGTGCTGAATAAATGTAAATGCTTATATTTTTGTCAGTTGTGACCCTTGACCTTTGACCTACTCAGGTTGTCGGTGTGGATGTGAAAGTCGGACGAGCTGTTGAAGGCTGAAACCGTCTTCCTCAGGAGGCAGGCCATCATGGATGCTCCACCCACTCTGATATCCACCTGGTGACGACCTGGAGAGAGAACATCCTGACCCACAATCCCTCTGTGATGATGTCATCTACATCAGCTGAGATACTCAGAAGAATAACCAAAGAATCCAGATCAGCTGATACCACACAAATATTTTCTTATGGATTTAAAACTTCAAATAAAACTTTGAAGAAAAGTCTAAAATATGTGTGTGACTGTGTGTCTCTGTCTGTGAGACTGTGTGTGTGTGTGTGTGTGTGTGTGTGTGTGTGTGTGTCATCACTGGTCAGGTTGAACTGGGTGGAGGTGTGTCTGCTGACGATGTCCAGAGCGTGGACCACAGAAAAGTCGACAGTCAACAGGACGACGCACAGCAGAGAGACTGAGAGCAGCTGAAACACGCCTGACATCTGACAAAACACACACCACACACACACACATTAACACACAACACACAAATGCACTGATTTTATTCCTTTCCACTGAGGTTGTGGAGAACTTTAGCCTCTTGTGGTCAAAATGAGTATTACAAATGGAATTTGATACAAAAATGTAACAATGATCAAATTAAATGTTTTCTCACTTAAATATATCAGTGTTTGATTATATTTCACTCTCAAGGACAAAGATGAGGATGAAGACGACATTGATAGGTTGAACTCACCACCTCTTGAAACTCGTCAGGATGAATTCTGAGGCTCAGAGGGTCAATGAACTTCTTCTTCTCTGACTTCCTCAGCGGCAGCAGGAAACACTTCCCCTGAACGAAGCACAGAAACATGTCAGTTACATCAAACTGTTCTGATGGTGAGGATGATGATGACGGTGGTGAAGATGTTACCGCTCTTCTTCTGCGGGTGTCAATCTGTCTGAAGTAGGTGGTGATGTAGACATTGTCAAAGTGAACGTCCCTCCTGTACTGTCTGAGGTACCTGAATGCCCTGAGGAGGAAGAGGAGGACGAGGGACAGGAGAAAGAGGAGGATGAAGAGAAAGAAGAGGATGAAGAGGATGAAGAGGAAGAGGAGGAAGAAGAAGAGTGTGAATAGGCGGAGGAGGAGGTGAGGAGAAGGTGAAGGATAAAGAGAAGGAGGAGGAAGAGGAGGAGGGGGGACAGGAGAAAGAGGAGGATGAAGAGAAAGAGAAGGGGGAAGAGGAGGAAGAAGAGGAGAAGGAAGAGGAGGAAGAGGAGGAAGAGGAGTGTGAATAGTTGGAGGACAGGGAGAAGGAAAAGGATGAAGAGAATGAGGAGGAAGAGGAGGAAGAAGAGGAGAAGGAAGAGGAGGAAGAGGAGGAAGAGGAGTGTGAATAGTTGGAGGACAGGGAGAAGGAAAAGGATGAAGAGAATGAGGAGGAAGAGGAGGAAGAAGAAGAGAAGGAAGAGGAGGAAGAGGAGTGTGAATAAGTGGAGGAGGAGGAGAGGAGAAGGAAAAGGATGAAGAGAAGGAGGAGGAAGAGGAGGAAGAAGAAGAGAAGGAAGAGGAGGAAGAGGAGTGTGAATAAGTGGAGGAGGAGGAGAGGAGAAGGAAAAGGATGAAGAGAAGGAGGAGGAAGAGGAGGAGGGGGGACAGGAGAAAGAGGAGGATTAAGAGAAAGAGGAGGATGAAGAGGAAGAGGAGGAAGAAGAGGAAGAGGAGGAAGAAGAGGAGAAGGAAGCAGAAGAGGAGGGACGGGAGAAAGAGGAGGATGAAGAGAAAGAGGAGAATGAAGAGGAAGAAGAGGAGAAGGAAGAGGAGGAAAAGGAGTGCGAAGAGGTGGAGGAGAGGAGGAGGAAGAGGAGGAGGAGGACATTTATTGTCCTCTGACTCAGCAGATTTATTAAATATATTCATGAGCTCATGTCCTCACAGGACTCTAATGTTTACGTCTCACTTGATGAAGACGCTGATGAAGGTGAAGGACAGCAGCAGCTGCATAACGTCCAGCAGCTGCTTCATCACAGTTGTCAGTCTGTGGAGAGACTCTCTCACAGACTGAGTGAAGTGATCGGTCAGAGCTCCACCCAGCACAGCCTGCCGCTCCTGCAAGAGGTCATAGGTCAGGACATGAACATAGTGACAGGCTGATGACATCACACAGGTGTTTCTGACCTGGACAACCAGCTCGGTGCTGAACTCTCTGGACAACATGTCAACGGAAACGTTCAGATGATCAAAGAGACGACCGAAGTTTCCCTCCACAGGAACGTGCTGCTTACACCACGGACTCATCACTAATGATATATAAAGACTGTATATAAACACCATCACTGTCAATATAGATGTAAAGACCATAACTGACTATATGTAAACACAATCAGTGACTGTATATAGAGATGATCAGTGACTGTATATAGAGACGACCTCTCACCTCTCATGATGTCACACAGGAAGTGGAATTTCATAGAGACACAGAGGATGTGGCTGATAACAGGGACAGGTATCGCCTCCATACACTCCACCCACCTGAGCTTGAACCAATCAGAACAGCGCTGTACTCCCTCATTCACCACACCTGAAATCACATAACAGAAATCATCCTGTCCATGTGCTCAGGCCATAAGTATTTGGACAGTTACACATGTAATCAACCTGATGTTGTCTGACTCACTGTTGCACTGCATCATGGTCTTTGTAGTGAACTGTTCCTGTGTCTTCCTGTCGAACTCCATGCGCTGTGGTTTGAACTGGTCGTATCCATACTGAGCGATGACTTCATCTCTGATGATCTGAAACTTCCTGCTGACGCTCAGAGCCTCCGACTCAAACGCTGCTTTATCATCCTGAACAGGAAACAACAGCTGTGTCAGTAACTCGTCTGCTCTCGCTCCCTGATCATCAGCTACTGATCACTTCATGCTGAACGTTTTCATAGATTATTGATAATTGGTTTGTTTGATTTGTTCATGTGTTTATTATGGTAATAATAAAGCTTTTTAACAGAATAACATGCAGCTGAAATCAGGCGTTAATGCCAGTGAAACTGAAGATATGAAATATTTAACAGCTCGTTTTAAATAGATTCTTGGCTGTGATTGGTTCCCACCACGAGTTGCTGAGTGATGACTGTAAATGGTCTGATGGCGTGTCGCCACAGGAGCTTGCTGTGATGAACCTGCAGGTCCAGGTTACAGCTGAGAGACAAAGCTGCCGAGTGCACGTTATGCACAACGTTAGAGACAGGTCCTGTAATGACATCATCAGACAGCATCAATGATCACACACTGACTGTGTGTGTCTGTGTGTTTGTGTGTGTGTGTGTGTGTGTGTGTGTGTGTGTGTGTGTGTGTGTGTGTGTGTGTGTGTGTGATAACCTGTATAGAGCACAGACAGGATGAACACCATCATGTACGTTCGGCCACGGGAGCCGAGCATGCTGGGAAACATCAGGAGAACTGAGCATCTGAAGGAGGAGGACAACATCCCGCAAATGAAACACACACCTGAAACACACACGTCAGTCAGTCAATCGAATTGTATTTTTATAGCCTTTTCACAAATCAGAATTTGTCTCATAGGGCTGATGAGTTGATGTTTTTCATTAGAAAGTAAACATCTGTTAACGTAACGTCTCCTCACCGACAAACACACTTCCTGCTGCCAGCTTCAGGTCAAAGGTCAGAGGGAGGCCGTGACTGATGCCCAGGAAAAGAACTGAAGTACAGGAACCATGTGAGGGAACATGAAGAGCTTCAAATGGACAAAATAATGAGCAAAATACTATAAATAAAGTACAAAATATG